AAGCGACCCTGCATATCCACCAACTTTAAGCAGACTGTACTGAAGTATTTTCCTGAGGAATATTTGTCCTAAGGGGTTAAGAATAACATTTTATGAAGGTAGAGTAAGCTAAATGAGACATAATAAAGTATAAAACTTTAGTGTACCGAGTAAACACAAAGACGAAGAGATTCTATCGTTCAAATTTCGAAATTGCTTAAAACTGTATTTGATCATAAAAGAAGACGATAAACCTTCGTTTACTAAAGAGGTTGCAGACAAGAAGTTAAGTTAATATAGAAAAAAACAGCGAATCGGATCACGTAATAGTACTTGCATGCACAAGCTGTTTGGTTATGAATTAAGTCCGGTAAGGCTTTTTAGTGGAGCTAAACTCACTGGGGCCCCGGAACCATGAGTGGCTGAATAAGAAGTAAATATCGGGTAACACGGTGAGAGTAGTTTTTCGAAGGCATATGAAGACAATAAAAAATTTTATGCATAAATACATTCGGATTACGCCATATAGATAATAAGTTCGATTATCATCGTAGGTCTAAAACGTACCTCCTTCCTAAAGGATTCGACACAAAATTCTCTTTAGAGGATTCAAGAGTCTAGCGCCTACCTCAGATAGTTCCTGATTAGTCGTTTTCTGTACAGATTCTTCAAAGAGGCGACGGCTGCCATGGAGCCTTGATAATTCCATCTGAACTTCTGCAAGGCGGCGATTAGTCTCGGCCAAGGAGAGCTGAGATCGGTCAATCCAGAGGAGGCATGCAGTTGAAGAGAGAGTGATGGAAAGACGATTTAGGCGGTGTGGTATAAAAGAATGAACGAAATAGCTGGGAACAAGAGGCAGCAGAAGTTTTAGATGGAAAATTAAACTTGGAATAGTAAAAATGAGACGGGAGGTCTTAGAGGACAATGCAAATAAAAGAACATAAGCTCTTACAGTTGTCTCTTGAAGCTTATTCTCTGCTATTACTTTGGCCTCATGCTCACTCGAGAAAGATTGGCGCAACTTTTCTGTAGCCGTCAAAGCCTCGGTTTGCTGAGCTACTGCATAAAAAGAAGAGGTCAAATGTGAGAAAATAAGAGACGAACTATAAAATGAATTAATGAATAAATTAATGTCAACCTATTCTTAAGCCTAAAATAAACAACTTGGAGAAAAAAGTTGGTAGATAGAAGCAGTGGCGCAAAACCGAATAGTAAGAATGCCTTCCCAATTTGTCGATCGAAGGAAGTTCGCAGGACCAATTTCTCTTTTAGGAAGAGACTCTGCTTAGGAAATCTAAAAGACCATGTGCACCTAAGCGCAAGTAAAGGACTCAATATGTCAACAGAGCACCTAAAAACGATCAAAGAATAGATCATAGTATTTGATGGTCTCAAAAAATGTCCCAGGAGGAAAAATAAATGAGGATGACTCAAGTTTCGAGACTCCCAGCAAAGTTTATATAAGAATTGTATCCATCCTATTTCACTTAAGGTAATGAAGGAAGGTTGAGTTTCCCCACAATGATATGAGTAGGTTGACGTTTCAATTAAATTTCAGATAGCCTCTGTTCCCAAAAGGCCCTCTCACCCTAACCAGACTGGGCTTCAGTTTCGAGCACGCCTAGGTCTCATCCAAGCCCCAGCTGCATGAATATGCCCAGGCGCAATCAAAGCTGCAGTCCAGTCCGGTCAGGATGAGAATACCTTTTGGGAACAAAGACTATGTGAAATTCAATGGAAACGTGAGCCTACTCACAGCATTATAGGAAAGCTAAATTATCATTCCTTTATCACCTTAGATGAAATAGGATGATCATTTCTCAAACATAATTCACGTTCTCAAGTCAAAATGAACCTTTACATTGTCTTATCGAATAAGTATTGCTTGAATAGGTTTCGTTCGCCTTGCGAGTCGACTTCGGGTCTGCCTCTGGCCAACTTGTCCTGGCAGCAGTCGGTTTCGACAATTATGTGTTGAACATAGTGGCATGTCAGCTCCTCTACAAGCTGCTAACTTAGGCTAAAACACGAGATTGGCCGGTGTATAGAAGATGACAATGGTCGCCGCGATTAATCGCTAAGTGGTAAAGTATGGCAAACTTTTGGAATGGTCACACGAAGAGAGAAGTGCAGAGTTCGTCAGTGTAGACTTTAGAACCCGAGTTAATTCGGAGATTATTAAAACTATTTCTTTTAAAACTCTATTCTTGGCGAAAATACCGTAGTCTGCTGACATGTCATGGTAAGACATATACTCTGTTCTACCATTCACAGACGTACAATTACATAAGCACACACATGACGCATACACACATGCACCCACATATGCGCACATAGTTTTACGCATAACCGCATGCATACATACATACATACATACATACATACATACATACATACATACATACATACATACAT